AAAAAACACTTGTGAAATTTTGCTTCAAAGACACGAAAGAAAATCGGTTTTGCATCGGATTGTTACTGGCGATGAAAAATGGATTTATTTTAAGAATCCTAAACGGAAAAAATCATGGGTTAATCTGGGACAACCATCAACATCGACTGCAAAACCAGATCGATTCGGCAATAAGACAATGCTGTGTGTTTGGTGGGACCAGAAAGGTGTGGTGTACCACGAGCTCCTAAAACCTGGCGAAACCGTCAATGCTGGTCGAACCATGCATTGATCGAGAAACGACCAGAATGGGCCAGAAGACACGGCAAGGTAATTCTGCTCCATGACAATGCACCTGCACACAAAGCAAAACGGGTTCAGGATGCAATCAAAACACTTGGCTGGGAGCTGCTACCCCACCCGCTGTATTCACCAGACTTGGGTCCTTCCGACTACCATTTGTTTTCATCGATGGGACACGCATTGGCTGAGCAGCACTTTGATTCCTACGAGAAGGTCGTAAATTGGGTGTCTGGTTGGTTTGCTTTAAAAAACGAACAATTTTCTTGGCGTGGTATCCACAAATTGCCAGAAAGGTGGTCAAAATGTGTAGAAAGCAATGGCCAATACATTGAACAAAATGTTTTTTACTTTCCTATTAATAATTAGTGTTTTATTTTCCCAAAAAAAACGCTCATTTCATACCGGTACACCTAATAAATACAATGAAAACATCAAATATCGAAATATTAGAATACAATCCAGGCATGCAAAAATTTTGAGAAGCGAAATCTGGTACGACATTATATTACTGAGTGCAATAATTTTAGAAGTTTCACATTACTCTCCATACGAAGTAAGATATCGCAATTTATGTGATTATCTTGAATGGTGATAGTTGAACTAGCCTGGGTTAATGACGGTTTAGAAAACTACATCCGAATAGTGTTATCGACACTAAGAACACATATATGTTTCAAATAGACAGCTTTCTTTAGGAAGTATTACTCTAAAGAGGGCTGGTTTGCCTTTGATACACTGAATATTTAAATGCCTACTTAATTAATAGTGTGATAGGATAAGTGAACATTTTGTTGAGAAACATTATTCCCAAAT